TTTCCTTTTTCTTATTCTTTTTCTTATTCTTTTGCACACTCATTGGTGGCTGACACGTTCAAGAGTATGGAAACCGAACCAGAGAAGCATGGATATAATAAGGATGGCCTGGTTGGTGACTCTGAGGTAGCCTTTTCCTCATGGCTGGACTACAAAGAATAGAGGGGAAAGCCGTGGAGATACAAAAGGATGGAAGGTGGTTAAGAGACTCAACATCACCCATGATATGCTAGTATAGGTCAATTCCTCTAGAAAAGTAAAAAATACAATGCCAGAAGTCCATAGAAAAAAATAATCACTAAGGCAGAAGACTCCAAAATTTGCTAATCCAAGAGTGTGTACAGAATGAGACATACTAATCAAAAAACTCACACTCCAAAATGAGTAATGACCACAGAAAGCACACATATATTAACATGTAATGGATATTCTCATCAATTCCAATATGCACCAAGGACCACTCAAAAATTTCAAGCTTGCAAAACCATACTAAGAAAATCTTTTTGAGTTTTTTTTTTTTTTTTCTTTAAACAAAGCAAGACAGAGAACGAACACACACACATAAAATGACTCAAAAAAAACATACAGAAACCCAAAAACTAAAAACGACTAAACAAATTAACACAAGTCAAGTTTTCTCACCCAAACTGCTTTAGTATGAACAAAGTTGTGAGAATAGCGGTTCTTAGGTGGTGTCTTGACGTTATGGTTCCTTTCCCCTTCAATAGGAACCCGTCTAGACTTGGTGTCCAACTTCCTATTCCTAGGACTAGACAAACAAAACCTCTGTTCACAATCGGTCTCAAGCAAATCAAAATAACGAGGTCTAATATGACCCTTAACCTCATTACAACCAATGAAGTGTCTCTTACCCCACGAGATGTTGGAATTTCTTCCATCTCTATGAGACACTCTCCCATGCAACTTATAACAATAAGGGCGAATATGACCATGCATACCACAATGATGACAAATAAAAACAGGGTGTACCTTCTTTTCTTTTACCTTACCAACTCTAGGAAGTTTGAGAAGTCCATCCTCATGTTGAATTTTTTGTTCTCCATTTCCTTGAGTTCTTGTATCATGAGATGTAGATGCACTCTGTTTTTGCTCTTTCTTACCACAAAAGCCAATGCCACTCTTGTAA